CCAATTGAGAAAATTAATGCAATCGTCCGCGAAGCAGTTGATATTGAAAAGGTTTTCTTTTTTAATGTTTATTCAAAATTCCATTTTATTTTTGATATCTTGGTCAGCATTGGCACCACAGTTACCTCATTGCGGAAGATTCAAAGTTTCCATCGTTTTTTTCGTTGCATCGCCTGGTAATTGGTTGAGGCATTTCCCCTGTTTTTTTTTTTTTTTTTCTTTATCTTTGCTGAAAGAATTATTTGTTTTGCATATTCTTCCTCGTTTTTTGCATAGTTTCCCGCAGGTTTTTGTCGCTAACGGCACTGTTTTTCCGGCAAATGCTTCTAGGCAAAAAGAATTAAGACTGGCCACCACGATTGTCAAAAAGATGACTTTTTCCTAGGCCTAAGGGGTTTTTTAACTTATTTGTTACCAATATTCTGTTGTCTGCCAGCAACTGTAAGAGGGAAGATTTCTCAGCAAGAGGAATATCCAAAAGCGCCAAAATGCGGGGTATTGAATTTCCGTAAGGAATTGGTAACGGGGCCATTATTTGTTTACTTATATATTGTTTTTGCCTTCCAAACTTTGCATGATGGTATATAATCTATGTTTTTAATTAAGGAATATCTGACCGAAGCTCTGCCAGTGAATCTGATTGGTATGAATTGTCAACTGATGTGCCAGTATATCGAATATGTGGCCGATCATTTGCTTACCGAACTGAAATGCCCGAAGGTATTGATATTCTTGAATATCCAATCTTCAACAGCACTTCTAGAAATATGAAAAAAGCTTGAAACGTATCCAAAGTTTTAAGGTCCGAGTGATAATACCAGGCCAAGAGGAACCATCTGCTAGCCAAGATAACGATCCCTCTTCATCGTGTGATCACTTCGGTTCTTTTTTTTTAAAGAAACTCGTTTTTTTTAAACCAAATTGCTGAATTTTTACAGATATATAATTCGCAGAATCCGTTTGATTTCATGGAGCGTATTTCGATCGAGGCAAAAACAAATTTCTTCGAGAAACGAGTCAGCGAATATCAGAAAGCTGGTGTTTTGAGCAACGAAGAAGGAAACAGCTTCTCGCTGGATTCGGATTTTTAAGATTTTGGCATCAACAGGACCAGCATACCTGTGAAAATTACCGCAAAACATTTTTTTTTGGGAAAGTCAAAAAAAGCAAAAAAAAAAAAACATTTTCTGAAGAGCGATAAAAATTGCATTCGTGGCACTTTCTAACTGTTTTTGATATTAAATTTTCCAAAGACCTCAATCCCTTAGTGCTCCAGCCTTCTCCAGTAATTCCAACAAATTCCATTCCTCAAACCTCATTGCTGCACACCTGAGCTCATAGCATTAAGTGTGCTCGTATTGACCATGATAAACGCAATTTTTTGTTTACCACATCGGCATGCTTTCTCTATTGTATGCAACTTTCATATTTCATAGATTATATTTGAATCAGTTGTTGATAACTTTTTGTGACTCTATGCAATTATCAGATTTTCCAGCTTTTTGATAAAATACGAGCAGATTTTTTTGAAATTTTTTTCTCGAAATTTCTGAATTCTGAGCTCATATAGTTCTTTTTTCATCCTTTTCTTCCTTCCCCTCCATTGTTCACAATGAAGTATTTCGTCGAAGAACTCACTACCATTGGAAACATTATGCATCTTGAATATTTCCATTCACTTATTTTGCGTATTGTTTTTTTTTATTTTTATGACCATTAACTTGTTCTGATCGGGCCAATAGAATGCGCGAAAAAGAGGTGCTTTGTTGGGCAAAATTACTGGGAACTGAGATTTGTTCTGGATTTGTATCTCTGGTGATCTATCTGCCCTGTATTGTATCGGAAACTAAATCAGGTGTAATTCCAGTGAAGAATTTTTATATGCATGCCTGGGTTAAATTCTGTGGAAGTATATAATCCTGTTATCGAGATGCGGAGCTTGCCCAAGCTAGATCTCTCATCTTCATCGGTTCTTCCTTTTTCCCTCTTTCCCATCAGTTTTAAGTAAATTTTTGGTACTTTCATACTACTGAGAATACCATGACTTTCCGGACTATCATTTTGAGTCCTCGGCCTCTCATCCTCGGCTTTTTTTTTGTGCTTCTCTGTCTTCACCAGCTTTAACCGTTTGGTACTTTTATAAAGCTTCGATTTTTATAACATTTAGGCACTCTGACTTGACTTTAACACTTATGGTATTTTCTATATCACTTCTGTTGCCCTTATTTTGCATACTCTGATAAGCTGCAGTCTCATCTCGGCTGAGTACAGGGTCTTCGTGTTACTCAAATGTTACTCAAATCCCGGGCGTTAATGTGTCAAGTCCACCGTATTCCAGATTTTTATCTTTTTTTTTTTTGGTTATTTACCTGTAACCAGTTATTTGTATTTTTTGATGCATCTTTTTTACTGTCACTCCAGTTATCTATATCATACGCTACACCACCTGTCATTTTGTGCATGTTGACAATTTTCTGATAAAAAAATTTTGCTATTTTTTGCCACTCCTTTGTGCTTTACTGTTATCAGTAGCGTGAAACGCTTTTTGATAAATTTAAATGTAATAAATCATCATTTTTGCGTATATGCGAATGCGAAAACTTATACCCCGGTGTGTGTTTTGTGTGTGTGTAGTTTGTGCGTGCATGTCTGTGCGCGTCTGTCCGGATATTTCAACTCGGCAACCAAGCAAGCTCCGACGCTAAAGTTTTGCCAGCGGATTCTTCGGCCAAGTGCCACTCCAAGATTGCGGCACCAACCCTTACGCACGCTAAGTTCCACATACAGTTACGTGAAAGTTCCTGGCGGAAAAATCGCTGATTCGGTAACCGGAAAAGCTGGAAAGCTGGAATTTTAACAGAATGTTCCCAAGCACCACAGGTATTGTACAATTAACTTCCCGAACTTCGAGAATCAGTATATCACAAATTCTAGGTACTGGGATTCCAAGTGATCTTACGACAGCACGAAATACTGCAAAAACGCATGATTGCACAGGCCCGCCTAGTGCGCGTCACCAATGTTTTTTTCTGAGAACATTAATTCAGACTGAAAAGATATACGATAAAGTGCTTGTGTTGAGCGAGCCATTTGAGCCAATATTTTTCCAGGCGATGAACGCTACAATCACCAGAAGATTATCCGTTTATGCAGCATTGTTCAAGAAATCAGTGAAATGAAGGGGATGGCATGGCCGATCGACTACGTTATTGACGAATCAGCGGTGAATTAATAGCTGTTTCAAAATTATGTTGTAGTTGCTTTTGTAGGAGAAGTCAAGCCACGTATCTGTAATTTCAGTGGCTTACGGCCACCAGATCAATTTATTGAACTATATTTGTGGCGTACTTTGCTGAAGAACAGAAATTAGCAGTGTCTCAAAGAGCCATGGAGCGATGGATGGTTGGCGCCAGCAGGCTACAGCACATTCCGAATGAAGTGCACCGAGCTAGATCTGGCGTGAAAGACATTATCGAAGCAGTGTACGTCAGCAACAAGAAATGGGCTGGTCATGTGGCACGAATGACGGATAATAGACGGAGGAAGCGGATAATGGAGTGGTATCCACGCACAATCGAGCGAACACTGGGGAGGCTATCAATGAGGAGGAGAGACCCCATGGTGTGCCTGTTCAGTACCACGTGGAGAAGGAGAGCGCAGCAATGAGTTGAATGGAGAAGTTACTAGCTGCATCGATGGCGTGACAACGAACGTCGATGACATACAGCTGCTCAAGTATTCAAGTATAAGTATACCCGTGACAAGCAGATTTCAAGCCTCTAGGTTTCTGGCCTACGAATTTTTTGCAGTTTTGTAATTGCAAGGACAAAGATTTGGTTGCACTAATGAGGTTCAGTTATGGTACTAAATAGAAATGTATACGACTTAATGGACCTAAATATTCTTGTTCATCTGATTTAATCATCTAATATGCTTATTATGATACAGATCTGCGATTTGAAATTCTGTACATTACATGCATCGAATGGACGAAAAAATTCCTATGATGCGATGGTGCTTCTTCATGTGTTTGAACATCAGTCTATCTTGTGCGTACGGGCACGTAAAATATTTGGCGGGAAAACTGCTAACTCGGTAACTAGAAAAGCTAGAAGGTTGATTGATAGCACATGTAATGACTGCAACTCCTTCATTATTCAGAAGGTATCCGTTAAGTGCTTTAAAAGTATGGGACCAAGAAGATCACATTGATATCGATTAAAGTGTATTTTAACTGACAATCGGGCGAAAAGGAGTCGCAGGCGTATCTGTTCCTATGTACGGGTACGTGAAATGTTTGGCGGGAAAATTGCTAACTCGGTAACCAGAAAAGCTGGAAGGTCGATTAACAATACCATTCGAGAGGGTAGCGTTCGAAAGCGTGTCGATTAAAGGCGTATTGGTAGTATCATTTGGAGGGAAAGGATCGC